ATTGCTAATACAATGAACGAGTATTCCCATTCGGTCTTCTCTCCCTAGACTGAAATAAACGGGCTGTTCACGAATGCGACTGATATTGATCCTGAATTTATATCTTGCGAAGGCGTTCTTGCACTTCTGCTGGATATAAATGAAAAGTCTTCAAAAGGGCCAGACCTAATTCCAAATGCTTTTTTGCGCCGTTATACCGAGCCGATATCGCACATTTTGACCGCCATCTTTCGTTTATGCTTGCGCCACTCAGTCTTGCCTGATGATTGTCACCTAGTTCGCGTTGTGGCTGTCTTTAAAAAAGGAAATAGCTTGAAAATGGAAAATTATCGACCCATCTCACTAACATCAGCCTGCTGCAAAATTTTGGAACACATAATCACCTCTTTTATTAACAAATTTCCGGAAACAAACAGCGTCCTTTCTGAGTTCCAACATTGGTTCCGCACAGGCCTTTTTACCACTACTCAACTTGTTACAACCACTCAAGAAATCGCACAAGCTTTAGATTCATCCAGCCAAATAGATTTAGTCTTTTTTGACTTCAGTAAAGCCTTTGATCGTGTATCCTATGATAAACTACTCACTAAGCTTTCTTCTTTGGGCCTTCCTGCGTTTATAATTAACTGGATCAAATCATATTTAACAAACAAAACACAGTTTGTGGAAGTCGACGGGTGCGCATCTGAAAGACTTGGTGTATCATCTGGCGTTCCACAGGGCAGTGTTTTGGGACCGGTTCTTTTTTTAATTTACATCAATGACATAACATCTGCTATTGACCTGAGAGTTTCCATAAAATTGTTTGCAGACGACTGTCTTATTTTCAAGGAAATCACGGGCACCGGTGACCAAGTCTTGTTAAACAGCAGTTTGACGGGAATTGGTCAGTGGTGCACTACCTGGGGTATGAGCTTGAACGCTGAAAAAACAGTTCTACTTCATGTAACAAAGAAAAAACAACCCTTTCAGTTTTCTTATTCATTAAATGGTGCACCAGTGGTAGAAAAAAGCCAGTACAAATACCTCGGGATAACGTTCACCAATACTCTGTCGTGGTCAAAGCACATAAAAAAACATCTGCCACACGCAAGTTAGGCTTTTTACGGCATAAACTCAAAGCGTCACTAACTCATGTCAAATTACTGGCCTTCAAAATGATAATACTGCCACATTCCATTTACCAAGTTTTTGTTATCGTCCAAAAACACCACACGATTCTCAGCGCAAACCGCGCCTGCAGTTTTCGAGAAGCTTCCAGACTGTAGTAGATCATTTCGATAAGATCACGCCCACTGTGCGAACTGTATAGATTGTTCTGGAACCTATGCCACCGCCAGCAATAACGCTAGAACATTCGACGGCAAGAGTATAAATACAAACGCGTTTCGCCGCTTGTCAGTAGTTGATCGAAGGCCAACGCTCCGTTCGCCGCTATCAGTCCAAGACTGCTATCTGTGCGAGACTGCTATCTGTGCGAGACTGCTGCTGTAATTGGACTTTCCGTTTACCGGGCACAGGTGCGCCCAAATAAACAGTTAAATCCCAACACGAATCCCAACAGTTAAATCCCAACACGTCTCCTGTCTTCGGCCACGTCACGCCCCCGTGACATCTGGTGGAGGTGCTGTTTCTTCCATGTACCGGACACCTCCGTCAAGCCGTGAACCCAGCCCACGCCGTGAAGACACCGACGCCAGCAACGAGCAGCGAGTTAGCTGCAGGCAACAAGGTCTGCCACCGCAGTGCGGGCTTTTACTGGACAAGGCTCGGAAAACCAAGACGTTGACGTCGACCACGGCGACCATGTAAACGCCGGTTCTACCTGCACCACTCCTGCTCCGGCAACCCAAAGAGGCGCCAACTTTCCGCGGTTCGCCACTGGAAGACGCGGAAAGCTGGATCGAAAGGTTCGACCTCGACGCCGCCTTCAATGACTGGACAGACGAAGACAAGCTACGGCATGTGTATTTCGCCTTGGAAGATGCTGCTCGGACCTGGTTCGAGAATCAAGAGCGAAGCCTCACAACGTGGGACGCCTTTCGCGCCAGGTTCCTTACCACTTTCGCAAGTGTGGTGCGCAAGGAGAAGGCCGCAGCTCTCCTCAAAACCCGCATGCAGATGCCAAATGGAAACGTGGCGATATTCACGGAAGATATGATTAAACTCTTCCGCCACGCTGACTCCGACATGTCCGAGGAGAAGAAGGTGCGTCTACTTATGCGAGGAATAAAGCAGGAACTCTTCGCCGGGCTGATCAGAAACCCGTCTAAGACGGTCGCCGAATTCATTTCCGAAGCATCTACGATAGAGAAGACGCTCGAGATGCGCACGCGGCAATATAACTGTAGCTTCTCGTCTACAAGCTGCGCCCACATTCAAGCGCTCGGAACCACTGACTTGCGTGAGACGATCCGAGGGATCGTGCAAGAGGAGCTGCGAAAATTACTTCCTTCAGCGCAGCCTCACGTGGAATCCATCGCGGACGTCGTACGCCAGGAGATCCAGCAGTCGCTGGGCGTTCCTCAGCCTCAAGAGCCGCAGCTGCAAGTCATGAGCTATGCTGCTGCAGCGCGCCGCCACGCCCCTCCTCCACGCGCACGCCAAAACGTCGACCCATCGCACTTCCGTCACCAGAACAACACGGTGGTGCAGGAGACGACGCAGATATCTCCATACAAATTGGTCTAGGGAAGGAGCCCGGCAACGACGTTCGATGCCATGTTACGCAACGTCACCGACGAAGAAAACCTCAATGTGAGCGAGTACCTTCAACGCGCCGAAGAAGCCCGACAACTTGCGCGTCTCCGTATCAAGAATCAACAGACGACCGACAGCTACCGTTACAACCTTCGACGACGCTTCGTGGAATACCAGCCCGGTGAACGTGTTTGGGTGTGGACGCCGATACGCCGATGTGAACTAAGTGAAAAGCTTCTGCGACGGTACTTCGGACCGTACAGGGTGGTTCGACGTCTCGGCCCACTTGATTACGAGGTTGGCCCCGACGGCATCACGAACTCTCAACGACGCCGATCGCGATCTGAAGTCGTCCATGTCGCGCGCCTCAAGCCGTTTCATGCACGTTAACAAACTGAAACAGTGTTTTTTTATTATTGTTGTATCGTAATTTATTCATTGTACTTTCTTGCATTATTATTGTACCTTCATCTTTAGTTAAAGCATCGGGACGATGCCTTGTTTCAGAGGGGGGCAATGCCACGTTCCATTTCCCAAGTTTTTGTTATCGTTCCGAAACACCACACGATTCTCAGCGCAAACCGCGCCTGCAGTTTTCGAGAAGGTTCCGGACTGTAGTAGATCATTTCGATAAGATCACGCCCACTGTGCGAACGGTACAGATTGTTCTGGAACCTACGCCACCGCCAGCGATAACGCTACAACATTCGGCGGCAAGAGTATAAATACCGACGCGCTTCGCCGCTTGTCAGTAGTTGATCGAAGGCCGACACTCCGTTCGCCGCTATCAGTCCGAGACTGCTATCTGTGCGAGACTGCTGCTGTAATTGGACTTTCCGTTTACCGGGCACAGGTTCGCCCAAATAAACAGTTAAATCCCAACACGAAGTCTCCTGTCTTCGGCCACGTCACGACCCTGTGACAATACTTCTTAAACTGCAATACGCTTTGGTCGTATGGGACCCCTTCCTTAAAAAAGATAAGTACCGGCTTGAAATGGTGCAAAGACACGCTATGCGCTTCATTTTCAACAAATATAGGACCACTGACTCACCAACGTCTCTAATGCTGGCGAATAGCATTTCAACCCTGGAAGATAGACGAAAAATCGATAGGCTGAAACTGCTGTTTGCTCTTTATACTGGTTCCACAAAGGTAAATGCATTGGTATACATTCAGCCATTTCAATCGCGTCCCACGAGACATCGGCACACGCACAATTTGCTTCCGTATCGAGCCCACACAAACATGTTCAAGAATTCGTTTTTTCCACGTACAGTATCGGAATGGAATTCACTGCCTGAAGGGGTCTTCTCATCTCAGTCTATTTGCCATTTTGAGCGTGCCATATTGTCTGTACTGTAGTCTGTACCCGACTTGATTTACTGTTTATCGCGATTGTGAATGTATAATAGGGAGATGGACCCATCTCCATTGTTCTGAAGGTCGTATTAACCTGTGTTTAAGCTCATCTATATATCTCTGTATAATGTACTTATCTTCTTGTATTTTGTGCACATCATTAGAGTATCACGCTTACGTGTGTTTTCCACTTAATTTTTGTGCCTCTCCTGCCTGGTCTTTTAAGACTGCAGTATGTTGTAAATAAATAAAATAAAAATAAAACACATTCACAAAGGCCTTTCATGCACTAGGTTTCTTGTAAAGAAAATTGGCTGCTGCTCCATTACATGTGAAACTAACAGCGTCTAGTACATTAGTAAGGCCCATTCTCGAGTACAGTAGCAATGTGTGGAACCCGCTTCACAAGAAATTCGTGCAACAACTAGAAAGTATGAAAAACAAAGCATTAAAATTTCTATATTCTAAGTACTCTCAATAATGATGTTAGTAAGTCAATTGTTGTAAGCATTATTTTTTCTTCTGTTGTAAGCTAGGAAAATTACTTATGTTGATTACCAGAATAGTTATTTGCCCATTTTCATAGGACTGCTCTCCTTTTACCTACTTTTTTTTTAAACTCAATTCTATTATTTTAATGCTCATGCGTATCTTTACTGCCTACTTCCTGCGTAGGCTTGTGCAAAGGCTGCAACTATCGTTAAGTAAATGAATAAGAAACATAGAAGTGGTGCTCCTTGTTTGTGCACTGTCCCTATTGTTCGTTCTTGTCATCACACTTTACCCGTCAAATATGCTGAATATGCACCATCTGCCGCTCTTTCATATGAATATGAGCAAGGATTAGGGCACATTTGAAAATAATATAAGAAGCCATTACGGCAGTCATTACTTCATATAAACTCCGGCCACTGACTTTATTTCATTCCCGATTGCAGGCTCCATTCCTATGTGATCGCATGAAGATCCGGGTGCTCCCCACCATTGTGCTCTTTAAGGATTTCAAGTCAAAGGACTTCATCGTAGGATTCGACGACCTCGGTGGCGTCGACGACTTCAGCACTGAAATGCTGGAATGGCGCATCGCACGGGCCCACGTCATCAGATACTCCGGAGACCTGAGCGTTCCCCCGACTGAGGGTACTAAGGAACGCAGGCCGATGCTCAACTTTGAGCGAAAAACAATACGCGGAACGGCGGGAGACGACAGCGACGACGATTACTGATAAATTTGTGGCGCTCTTGATGGGTGAGAGAAACAGACAGGAAGAGAAAGAGAAACGTGGGTTGGGTTTATGGTGCTATTGTATGTCGAGATCTGTTTATATAAGGTATTCCTACCAGATTTTGATGCAGGCTAGGTTTATTTATTGGAATTTTAGCAAAGCAACTGCTTTACTGATGGGCAGTGGTCAATTTTATTCATGTTCATCAAACTCTTATTCGTATAATTGTTGTATTGCGTGAGCCCTTTACCATTATCGCACGCAGTTAGCAGCGCTGTAGGTTTCTCGGAAGCTGTGATTTTTATTGAGACATGTCTAGCTTATCATGACAGTTAAACTGAGTGCACTACTGTTCTATTCGTTTTGCCAAAACGAAGGACTACTATTTCGCAACATTTTTGCAGAGTGCACGGTGTAATTGTAATTTGGATTGCTTGGTAAATAGTTTTCTGCCAAACAACTACACATAATTCATTGCATGTTTATGGCGCCTAATTGTGTTGTTTGCTCTCAGCCACCCCAAACGCTTTTTTGTGATGCGTGTTGTACAGTAAGTCCTAATCGTGCTCGCCAATTATTGCATCGCCGCCAATAAAGGCCGTTTGATATTTTCTCCAATAGGTGTGTATTCAGCGAAAAAGGTTTGGACATTTGTTGCTAGCACAAATCAACCTGCACAGTACTGCCTTGTTTGTTTTTAACTTTCTAAGAACTCATGTACTTCTGAGAGTGAAATACAGCGCCGAACGATAAATGTTCGACTACGAAAGCATCTTATCGAGCGATGGAGAAAACTGGGGCTACAAATTTGTTAGCCGCAATCTGCTACTGTCGACGGCCAGAGCAGAAAAAGAAAGAGCATTCAATAAAGACGACGAGAAGCGAGAAAAAAAAAAAACATCGGTCAAGAAGACATCTGGGCGGCATGGCATATGTTGCCTCTCGTACAGTGTTGTGATGATTGCTCTAAACGTTGGATTACGCTTTGTTTCGGGTCCGTTTCCCCGTGCAACAGCTCTCACTAATCGCTTCCTGTTTACTTGGAGGATTGCCTGAATATGAAACAGTTCCTTTCAAGGACAGGAATTTATACATTTAGTACTGAAATGTCGCTCAAATTTCGCAGTTCAATCAGTGTTCTAGAGTTATATCAAATACCTAACCTAGACTTGATAACAATACCTAACCTAGACTTGGTAGCAAACAACGCTGAAGTTCAGGAAGAGACGAAGGTTTAAACGGACGGCAGAGTGCGCTATGCTCAAACCAACCAATGGCTGACATGACGTCTGCGACGCGATTTTTTAGTTTCTTCCGTCATTTGTAGAAAAAAGAAAAGACATTTTTAGCTGACTTTGAGAATCGATTGTGAATTCTAGGCTGCATTAAGCTGTAATATTTGGCTCGCGAGCATATACTACCGACCGGCAGTGTTTTCCGGCCATATTCAATATGTGTTTCACGGCCCCTTTACTGTCCCCTGAAGGCATGCCAACAAGCTCTGTTGCTCTTTTAAGGTATGATCATTATAAACGTGTACGGGGCCACAGAAATTGGGTAAATCACTCCATACTTGCTACTCCCATTAAAAAAGAAGGCAACAATCACACCAACAATTAAATGGCTGTGAAGCAATCGCGGTGAGTTGAAGACATTCAACGTGCTGCCAAAAAGTATCATCATCAAAAACAGGTACGTGCCACAATGAATTAGGTAAATCCAACTACTCACCACTGGTTTACTAAGAAAATGAAGACGGCAACAGGTAACTAATAAACAGGTATGCGCCACAAAATTTGGCAAAGCCGACAAATATCCCACTGGCGCAGAGCATCATAGCTTTGCAGCACGAGCAGTCCGTTTTTTTTTTTTTTTTTCATCAGAAAAAAAAACTTGCTAGCAGACCCATTCTTCGTCGGCTTTGCGAAACGTCGCAGGTAGAGAGAGAAAAAACTTTATATATATACACATACAGGGAGTACGTGGGTGGTGGCCTGGTGCGAGCCACCCCTCACAAACATTAGGTGGGCTCCTCATTACAGAAGCCCATTGGCGTCCAATGCGACTTGGGCTCGGTTGACCGGGGCCTTCTGGCCAATCAGCCTGGAGCAGCCGAGCAGGGCCGGCTCCCAGTTCTCCCGGGTGGGGTTCGGTTTTGGGGTGAGGGGAGTGGTTGACTGGTATGCCACACCATGTGGAAGATGTCCAAAGACTTCTCCACACAGTGCGTGCGTTTTCCTGTACAGGCAGGATCGAGTTATTTTAAAACTGCCGGGTCCTCCGCCTTTGTAAGGTTCTTACAGGCTTTAGGTTAAATTGAATGGCTGAATCGGTAGAATTCGGTAATTTCTCAAAATGTTAAGGCCGGATTGAGTTCGAGATCCGTTTCGGAAAGGTCTGAAGACGTTGCCCGGAGAGTGAGCGCGCGAGCGGTGGGCGTCAGCCGTTTCATTGCCTTCGAGACCCAGGTGAGGTGGAGCCAATATGATACTTCGGGATGCGGGGGCCCAGACGTATTTGCTGTTTTGTGATGGAAGTGCTGGGCTCAAGCAGGCAATAGCGATGAACCGGAAAAGACAAGGACTACATAGGTGCACGTGACCCTGCCCGAGTCACGTATGCGCAACAAGAAATAACGCAATGTTTATTACGCATGTGCATATAAAAAAAGTGCTGCAAGGCATTCATAAACACTTTCCGTTCCATTTCACAACAATATATCTTACTTTTAAATTACATACCGCTCACTACGCGTTTTTTTTTTTTTTTTTTGGTACGAGTAGACGGCCTCATGCTAGCAACAGTGAAGTTCGCTCGCCGAAGCCGTCGCGTGAGGTTTGCCTGCGCTAGCGACTGATCGCGCGAAGACGATCTACGTCGCATCGCTCGTCGCTGTCGCGTGCATTTTCGCGCTTATGAGGTTTGGCCCTTAAGTTCTTTCCTCATCCTCATCCTCTTCTAACCACTACCACCACCACCACTATACCCGCGAGCAAGAGACGCTCCGCATCGAAGAGAAAAAAAAGCTTCGACCTTAAAAGCAGAACGCTATAGCGATATCATGTCCCTAGTGCGTACTTCAATCACTTAGTGCTTGAAATCTTTTCGAACTTCCTATGCACCCTCTACGTGGCCTAAGGGGAACAGGCGCAGTAACGTGTGTGCTTTGTGTAGTGGGTGACCGCCCTAAAACTACGAAGTCGTCATGATAATCGCATGTTCTGATGCCCGATGGCAACATTAGCTTGTACAAGGCATTATTACTGCAATATTCATGTACTGTGATGCATGTATACTGGGCTCGTGTGTTCGTAAAGCATGAACGTTACTTGCACCGCATTTCCAACCAGAGGAAGTTATTTCACCTTATCCACAAGCATACGGGTGGCTGTGTCGACACCAGCCACGCAAACGACTCGGGTTCGTTCCTCACTGCGACCCAGAACTCTTTATTATCTTTTTTATTTGCATCTTTCTCGATTTTCAGGTCAAGCGCATGGTTTTTCGCTCACAATTAACCAAAGACGCCGACGCCGGAATTCCTGCGAAACGAGCTCTTTAACGCTATCGCGTTGAAAGGCAACAGTAAGCCAAACAAATGGTGGACGGCGGCGATGAGAAGAACCCAAAGCAATCGAAGGCCGACGCCAACGATGACATGCATGTGCCCTGTCTGTTGAATGTCTGTGGTTTAACTATACCCTCGCTGTGTTGATAATAAACGTAGAAACAACGTACCATCACATGGAGAATCAGCCAAGCAACGGCCCAGGAGTAACAAAGAACCTGCCAAACTTATGGGTAAGGCTTATAAGCAAGAAGCAACCGTATTAGTCTTCAGCATCGTCCAATTTCGCTGTTTCAAGGCTGGCGCGGCTTGGTGCAAACAGTGCATTTTGTTCTCTTTTTTTTTTTTTTTTTTTGGCCAGTACGATGCATTCATGTGGTTTCAATGTATCCTAACCAATAAAGACGTGCTGTTTAGCTCAGTGGTTTATGTCCTCACCTTCAGGATGAGAAGAGCTGGGTTCGAATCCCTTCCTTCTCTGACGTTTTTTTTTCTTCTTCTTCGCAGGAATGCTTGCATGTTATTCAGATGCATTCACTCCCGAGTAAGCATAGACGCTGAGCTCAGCGATTGGAGCGGTCGCCTTCGAAGCTTGAAGGACTGCGTTCGAATCCAATCGCTGTGGTTACATACTTTATTTTTTTCTTATTCAGTAGGACACAGTCATATGCTTCACATGCATTCTATCCAAACAAGCCTTGGCGCTTAGCTGAATGGTTCAGGCGCTCCCCTTCGGAACGTGAGGTACAGGGTTCGAATCCCATTACTGCGATGGCACCTTTTTGTTTCTTTTTTTTTCGCCACTAGGACCATTCGCGTGGTTCAGATGCATTCGAGCCTAGTCGAGCTTCGTACTTCTAATTAGCTCAATGGTATAGACACTCGCCCACAGAGCGTGACAAACGAATTCCATATCGGGGCGTTGCGATTAAAGATAATCTTTTTTTTTTCGTTAGGCCTTATCATGGTCAATTAAGGAAGGGGAGGGGGGTTGAAAGGCTAATTTTTTTTTATCAGGAGGGCTCTGTGAAGGCGTGTAAGTGTATTACAGTCACCTGAATAGTTAAAGCGTAAAACATTTCGGGAGAGAGTGCCACACCACCCATGATCCCCCATTCCCACCCCTAACATGGCCCTGTCAGGGCCTCAACTTTTTCGACTGTTTTTGGCCATAAATGTGGTGACGCCAACTCATCAAAGAAATATTTAACCCAGAAAGAATGCATGACAGGCCCATTGCCTTGATGTGACGTCAGACAAAAGTTTAGCCTTATCGGGCAAGATAAGAGCCTCAACTTTTTCGACTGCTTTTGGCCCTATATGCGGTAAAGCTAACCTATCAGAGAAACCTTTTGTTCAGAAAAAACGCATGGCAGGCCCATTACTACAAGATGTGACGTCATACAAAAGTTGTGCCTTATCGGCGATGATAAGGGCCAAAACTTTTTCGACTGCTTCTGGCCATCTATGCGTTGAAGCCAACTTACCAGGGGAACCTTTAGCTCGGAAACAACATCTAGCAGGCGCATCGCTCCAAGCTGTGACGTCACACAAAAGTTGTGGCTTATCGGCGATGATAAGGGCCAAAACTTTTTCGACTGCTTCTGGCCATCTATGCGTTGAAGCCAACTTACCAAGGGAATGTTTAGCTCGGAAACAACATCTAGCATGCGCATCGCTCCAAGCTGTGACGTCAGACAAAATTTGTGCCTTATCGGCGATGATAAGGGCCAAAACTTTTTCGACTGCTTCGAGCCATCTATGCGTTGAAGTCAACTTACCAGGGGAACCTTTAGCTCGGAAACAACACCTAACAGGCACATCGCTCCAAGCTGTGACGTCATACAAAAGTTGTGCCTTATCAGCGATGATAAGGACCTAAACTTTTTCCACTGCTTTTGGCCATCTGTGTGGTGAAGCCAAATTACCGGGGGACGCTTTAGCTCGGAAACAACACCTAGCAGGCGCATTGCTCCAAGCTGTGACGTCAGACAAAAGTTGAGCCTTATCATCGATGATAAAGGCCTAAACTTTTTCGACTGCTTTTGTC